ACAGGGATGCACAGAAGGAAGACAGGGATACAGGGAAGGAAGGCAGGAGCTAATTTAGGGATTAATAATTCAAGGAAACAAGTCGTTTCCCTGATTCCATTTTGGCCCCGTGGCTGCGCCTCAGCTCCGGGTTCAAAAGCCCCGATTTTGTGAAATGTGCAATTTAATGATTCTCTGGGATTTGTTTGATCCTGTGGCTCTGGAGCTGCCCTGATTAGGGAGCTTTGTGTGATCCGCCCTGGCCGTGCCGGGAGCAGATGGTGGCGGGGCCTGAGTGGAGCCAATTACACCCTCCCAGCAGGAGGAAGGAATCAGTTTGTTGGACTTTTTTTCAACGGGATAAAACGGGATAATTGAGAAAAAGCAGGTTTTGGGGGGGATCCTGGCTTTCTCAGTCAGGGCAGGGCAGGCTCCAGCATCAGTTTGCTCTGGGAGCTTGCCCAGAATCTCCAAGGATGGTGATTCCTCGCTGTCCCAGGACTGCACACACTCAGGATCCCATCTCTTTTCCCACACACGCTTTCTATTCCATCTGTTTTCCCACACACTTGCATCCAAGCCCTTTCTTGCTGTCAGCTCCTTGTTCCCTCCTCTTTAACCCCCTTTTCAGCAGCAGAAGCCCCTCTGCATCCCTCACTACTCGGACCCAGCTGGAATTCCAACCCCCTTGGGGGTACCAGGAGCTGCTTCCCTGCTTCCCTGCACCCCTAACTCCGTTGTCCCCCCAGGAATGCCGCCGATGCAGGTGCACCACGGACCTCCCGGGATGGGCCAGCACCACCCGGGACCCCCGGGCTCCGGAGGGCAGCCACCCCCCCGGCCCCCCCCAGGAATGCCCCACCCAGGACCCCCCCCAATGGGGCTCCCACCCCGGGGGCCGCACTTCGGATCACCCATGGGTGAGTGGGATCTGCTCCGGGGGGGATCTGGGGAATCCACAGGCCGGGGAGGGCTGGGGGGGGGCACCCATGGGAGAGGTTGGGGGGCACCTGCTGGATGTGGCACCCCCAGGGGGGTTTTGGGGGGGCACCCGTGGTGGGGAGTTGGGGGAGTTTGAGGGGCACCCGCTGTCTCTGGAGCCCCTGGGGTGGGTTGGGGGAGTTTGGGGGGCACTGCCTGTCTCTGGAACCCCTGGGGTGGGTTGGGGGGGGCTTGGGGGGCACTGCCTGTCCCCCCCCCAGGGCACTGACCCCCCGTCTGTCCCACAGGTCACCCCGGGCCGCTGCCGCACCACGGGCTCCGCGGGCCCCCCCCGCTGATGCCGCCCCACGGCTACAACGGGCCCCCCCGGCCCCCCCCCCTACGGATACCAGAGGGTCCCGCTGCCCCCACGGCCAGCACAGAGACCCCCCGGGGTGCCCCCCCGCGGGCCCCTGCGGGGACCCCTGCCCTGAGACCCTCCGTCTCCATCCTCGGCCTTCCTGGACCCCTCGGACCAACATTCCCGCTCCTGGGGGGGACCGGGGGTGTCCCTCCCCTCTGTCCTTGTCCCCTTCACTTTCCCCTCCTGTTTTTTTTTATAGTGTTGTTGGTTTTCCTCACTTTCCCTCCACCTCCTCCCGTTTCTCTCTCCCTGGCAGCTTTTCCGAGCTCCTTTTTACCGGATTTGTTGGTTTTGTACGGAAAGCAGCGGCCGCCCGCCGGCAAATAAAGGATTTGGGAACCGAGGGGGTCCCTGGATTGGGGCCGAGGCTCTGCCTGTTTGTCACCAGCTGAGGGGTGGTGGCTGCCCTCGGAGCCTGGGACACTCATCCCAGAGACAGGGATGTTCAGAGGAGGGATTTGGGATGAATCCCACTCCGCTGAGTCCCTGCCACATCCCTTTCCTCAGGAAGGGAATGAGCTATGGGATCTTGGGTTGGGATTGCTCACAGCTGGTTTTCCTGTGGTTTTGGGGATGGTCTTAACTGGGGGTGAAGCTGTTGGGCTGGGAGAGGAGGGAGAGGATGGCTCTGTGCTTCCCGGGGCTGTACTGGAATCATCTGCCCTTTCCTCGTTCATTCAGCGCCATGAGGACGTGTCAGAGCAGGGCCTGGAGATGGGAAGGATTTGGGAAGCTGTGAGGAGGGAGGGGGCACTGTTGGCTTCCATCATCCCCTTCTCCCCTGATGTTACCCCATGGTCACCCCAGTTTTATCCCATCATCCCCCCTGGCTTTATCCTGCCATTCCCAGTTACATCCCATCTTCCCTCCGGCTGTATCCCATTGTCAGCCCTACTTTTATCTCTTTCCCCCTATTTTATGTCATCATCCCCCTGTTTTTATCCCGCTCCCCCCAGTTGTATCCCACCCCCCGTGGGTTTTCAGGCCCTGCCAAACATTCCCAAGGAGGAGCCATTCCCTGGCTGCTGCCAAGGCTGTTCCTCCCATGAGCCACATGAAGCCCCGGGGCTGAGTGTGAGCGGAGCGGGGACACAGGGCGGGGACACAGGGTGGTGACAGTGGCACATGAGTCACCGGGAGCCCGAGGACATGGGACACGCTCCCCCTGGGGCTGAGCTGCCCCCGGGGCTCTCTGGGTGTGTGATCTCCCGAGGGCGCAGCCCCGATCCTAAGCGGGCACCCTGCCCTGCTCCCGGCCTCGCCCTGCAGCTCCATCCCCCTTTTGGGGTTGTTTCCAGTGAGGTGTCACCACTATTTCTCGGCTCTTGGGTTCCTAAATCCTTCCCTGTGCTGGTGCCACTGGTGTGGACTGGTCCCCGTCCGCGTTTTCCAGTCTGAGAGGGGAAGTGCTGATCCTGATGGATCCTGAGGGATTGTGGGGCTTTGGGATTGACATCCTGGAAGCTGAGGCTGGATCAGCTCGTTGCATGGAATGCAGGGAGAGGGATTTTAGGGAAGGCTGGGGCTCCGGGAATGTTGGGGTGCAGGAGGAGGGGTCTTTAGGATGTAAGTGGAGGGGGATCAGGGAAGATCCTGCTTCGGGGAGGACCCCCCATCCCTGCTCACTGTGGGGACCCCAGGACCCCCAACCCCGAACTCAGCCGGGTCCAGGAGCAACCAGCACCCCAGAGCCCCGGGAGGAGTGGGGCTGGAGCACTGGGGGTCCCGGTTTCCCACCCTCGGGAAGCGATCCGTGGGGAAAAAGGTTCGATTTGGGAATTCCAGACCTCGCTGTGCCCTCCCTGCCATAGCTCCCCCCCCCTCCCCTTAAAAAAAAATCCCTCAGGGGCCGTTCGTGTCGTGTCGCAGCAGAGGGGCCGGGTCTGGCGAGCCCGGGCGGGGACGATTTGATCCCAAAAAATCCCAATCCAGCCCCGCGGAGCCCGTGACTCAGCCGTGCCGGGGGCGGGGGGCGGCGGGGGGCGGAGGGGGGGGGCTGAGCCTCGCCGAGGGATCCGGGGGGGCCGCCGGCTCGTGCCCCCCGTGCCCACCACCCGCTCCCCGCCATCGGCAGCCTCCGGAGCGGCTCCATCCCAGCAGCTCCATCCCGGGAGCCCCGATCCCGCGGGAGCTCCCCGTGCGCATCCCGGGGGATCCATCGCTCCCCCCCCCTCGGTAGGGGCGAGCCCCCCCCTCCCGCCGAGCCCCCCCGGTATCCGCGTGCCTCGGCTGATCCCTCCCTTCCCGGGGCTGCGCCGATGGACTCTCCCAGCGCTCCGTGTGTGCGGCGGAGGCTGCGGCGGTAGCGCTGGTACCCGGGAGCTGCTGTCGCGCCGTGTCGCTGCCGGAGCATCCTCCTTCCTCGCTGTATCCCTTCCCGAGCATCCTTCCTCGCCGGAGCACCTTCCTCCTCCTCGCCGGCGCCGGGAGGGAGCTGGAGCTGGAGCGGGGCGAGGGCTGAGCCAGGTAAAGGGGGAACAAAACGGGTTTATACCCCACATCCTCTCCCCTCCCCACGGCGTTAATCGGCCTTCACGGAGCCGCTGATGGATTCGGGGTTCGGCTTCTCCTTCCCACTTGCTGTGGCCATTTTGTCCTGGAAAACCTCCCCTGGAGCCCGGGTCTGCCTTTGGATGTGCGTGTTCGGGGGCTCCTGTCATCCCCCCGTGCCGTCCTGCGGCCGGGGAGCAGCCGGAGGGGATCGGGAATCCGCCGCAGGGATGGGAGTGGGGGGGAACCGGCGGGTTTTTGGGGAGGGGGTGGCACTGGGGTAGTTGGGGGGTGACCTTGGACACGGGCGATTTAAAACTCTCCCCTTGTCGCCATGTTCCTGGCGTTCTGCAGGGAGGTTGGGGGCTGCGGGGGGGGGGACACAGACCCCCAGCGTGGGACCCCCGGGTGTTTTGGGGTGCGTGGCTGCATCGACCCCCGGCTCCGCTGGGATGCGCGGCAGGAGGAGCCGGATCCAGGTCCCATAACCTTGTCCAGGGCTGGCGGTGACGGCTCTGGTCAACGCCAGGACGGGGCTGCAGGGCCAGCGGCACGTTCTGCCCCCGTGACGGGCATTTTTGGGGGACACCTCCCCCCCCCCCGGCTCCTGCATTTCGGGGGGCTGCGCTCTGTGGGATTTCTGGCTTCCTCGTGGCATCAAACCCTTGATCTCATCCGGCGCCGGCTCCTGCCGTCGGCTCGGCCGCTCGAGGCTCCCCGGCTCGTGCGGCCGCTTCTCCGTCACGGAGCCCGCGGTGACCTTGCTCCCCGGCCCATCCTCTTCCTCACCGCGCACTTGGCCTCTCCCTGCTCCCCGATTCCTTCCCCCAGCCCCCGATACCTCCCGCTCCGTGAAACACCGGCCCCGCATCGGGAGGCTCCGCAGGGAACCGCCAGCCCGGCCGGAGAAAAATGACCTTGGCCGTGGATCGACCCCTTCCAGGGGCCTCGGGGGCCCCGCGGGACCCCCAGGGAGGGGAGCGGGGGCTTCCCTCGGCCGGAGCAGAGAGCAGGGGGGGAATTTGCCATTTTATCCTGTGAAATCACCTGCCCAGCTCCGCTAGGGAAGGGGGGGGCCGGGCCTTGCCGCAGCCCCCCCCCCCTCACGGGGTTTCCGAAGGGCTAAATTTAGCGTCCCCGCGTGCCCTGTCCCCTCGCTCGGGGAGGGGGGACACGGCGCCGGCTGCGTCCCTCGCCCGCAGCTCCTTCCCTCTGCCCGCAGCTCGTTCCCGCCTGGCCGGGGATAAAAATAGCACTTTGGGGGGGGGTCACGCCGGTCCCCGCGGCCGGGGCAGCAGCGTCGGGCTGGGGGGCTGCGGGTCCATCCCTGTCACGAGCTGAGCTGGGCTCTGCACGGCCGGGGGGGAGTTGCTGGGCTGGGAAGGGGGACAAGTCAGGAGGACACAGGAGGTGCCACCCCCAGGTATCCGGGTGCCTCCTCTCCTCCCCCAGGGCTGGACCCTGGGGCACTTGGGGTGCCCCCAGTCCCCCGCTCCCCAAATCAGCCTCTGTCGGTGTCTCCCACAGCAAATCCTGCCTGGAAGCTTCCGCAGGGAGCGTGGCCCGGCACACGTGGTGCTGGGTCGGAGCCAGGGACGTGGCCGGGTCACTGTCACCCAAGGGACCCCCCAAGTCCCAAACCTGTCTCCTTGAGGCCCCCACCTCGGGCACTGGCAGCGCTGGGAGGGTTTGGGGACCCCTGTGCCCTTGGGGGCTGGTCCCCTCCCTGTCCCTCCGGTGTTGCTCCATCCTGTGGTGCCCAAGGAAATAGGGGGCTCCTTCAGGCCTGTTGATGGCCGTGTTTTTGGGGTGACTCACAGTCCTGGGGGGATTGACTGGGGGTACTTGGGGACAGTGATGCCCCCCCAGCTCCCTCTGTCCTTTGGAATGGATGTGGAAGGGATGGATCCGGAGGTGCTGGGGGTGTCCCAGTGAACTGTGGGAGCTGGGATTCCCCCAAGTGAGGGGAGGGGGCACCTAAGGGGTGGGGGCTGGCATGGAACCAGCATCCACCCGACTGTCCCCACCCCAGCTCCCGCTGTGCCCTGCGGTGGCCCCCTGCCCTCACTGTGGGATGGGGGAGTCCCCAAATCCTCCTGTTTCCATCTGAGACGGGAATAAAGTTGGGAGGTGGGATGTGGGGCCGTTGCCACTCTTAACACAGCCCCGGTTGTGTCTGGGCTCCCCAGGTCCGGGCCGGTGTCCGGGGTCCCCCCACGCCCCCTCCCACGGATGGGTAGCGCCGTCACCCATCTCCCCCCATCCCGGGCCTGAGGGCGCATCCCCCCGACGCAGAGACCCCCCTCCCCATTTCCACGCCGGCGTCGTCCCGTCCCATCCCGCCGGCGCCATGGACGAGTCGTTCCGGGACCGGACGGCGTTCATCCGCGGCGCCAAGGACATCGCCAAGGAGGTGAAGAAGCAGGCGGCCAAGAAGGTGAGCCGGGGCATGGACCGCGTGCAGGACGAGTACACCCGGCGCTCCTACTCCCGCTTCGAGGAGGAGGAGGACGACGAAGACTACGCGCCCCAGGACGGCTACTACCGGGGGGGCGAGGGGGCCAACGAGGAGGAGGGGGCGTCCAGCGACGCCACCGAGGGCCACGACGAGGAGGACGAGATCTACGAGGGCGAGTACCAGGGGATCCCCCGGCAAGAGTCGCTGAAGGGGGGGGAGCGCCTGGGGCCCGCCGCGGCCACCGGCGCCTTCGACGACAGCGAGGGGCAGCGGCGGAAGGACCGGGAGGAGCTGGCGCAGCAGTACGAGCTCATCCTGCAGGAGTGCGGCCACGGCCGCTTCCAGTGGACCCTCTACTTCGTCCTGGGCCTGGCCCTCATGGCCGACGGCGTCGAGGTCTTCGTGGTGGGCTTCGTCCTGCCCAGCGCCGAGAAGGACATGTGCCTCTCCGACTCCAACAAGGGCATGCTGGGTGAGGAGGGGCGGGCACGGGGGGTGGATTTGGGGGAGTTATGGGGGGGGTAGGAGGGTCAGCGGGACGTGGAGGGGCAGTGGGAGATGTGGAGAGATATGGGGTAGTCCATGGGGGACCGTGGGGATATGGGGGTACAGAGAGACATGCGGGAAGGGGGGG